CTGCTGAACATGTCTTTATGGTGAAGGATGGGGGCTTTTGGGTAATTATGCTGCGGTAATGACAGAGAACATTCTCTTGGGTGCTACACACACACATACCTGTGAGTCCCACCAAATTACACAAAGGTAACCACAGTGATGTGCAGACATCATAAAAATGGGTCATTGTTCAACATGTGGGCTGTTTTGTCAAGTTAGTCAGCTATTTTGGAAAATGCCCTCTAGAGAGTCTGACCATGAAGTCATCACTAACTTTGAACATCCTTGTTAACTAAACTGTTTCTGAGCAATTTGCTTGAAATGCTTTTTCCCATGTTGCTGCATCTAAAGGACCTTAAAGACGTCGCAGTCCTACTGTTGAAATACGGCTCACATTTAACACAGGACTTGCAATAACTCACTTATCCTTATTTGTTTTTGGGTCACAGGTCAGGTGGTTGCTTTTGAAGTTTGGTCTCTAAAACAAGGTGGTTCGAGAGTTTCTGATTCTGATTGAAACCCCATGCCTAGTTTTCCATGGATGGATTAGGATTCTCTGCTTGCAAAGTTTGGTGTGAGTGTTTGGGTGACTGATAAAATGTTCCCTGACCTTTGACCCAGCTTTAAAAGCACATCGCTCAATGGCTTTCAAACTCAAAGTGATGCAAGAAAACACTAAGATGAGAGAAGGACGAATTCACATGAACAAATGTTTATATAAACTTCACAGCAATTACCAACACAATTTTGATCCTAAATTGATGCTCACAGCCCAAAAATAGAAGCAATACTGATCTGTTTACATCCTTTAAGGAGCATCTGATCCACCTGGAAACTGCAGAACTGTGTTCTTGTAACCAGTCTAAACCAATATAAATCCACCAAAAATATATCTTTCTATTTCTACCACCATAAAAGTGATTTTCAAGGTGCAGACAGGACAGTAAAACATGATGTTTGTGCTTTTAGACATTTACAAAAGAATTTATAATGAATTAAACATTTCTATTTGTAAGATTGTTTTTTTTTTTTCAAATTAATACTAGACACATATATTGTCACAAAAGATTTCTATTTCAAATACAGGGTTTATCTTTATATTCACCAAAGCATCCTGAAAAATGTATCATGGTTTCCACAAAGATATAATGCAACATGACTGTTTTCAACATTGATAATATTAATAATAAATGTTTCTTGAGCAGCAAATCAGCATATTAGAATGATTTCTGAAGGATCATGTGACACTGAAGACTGGAGTAATGATGCTGAAAATTCAGCTTTGCATCACAGGAAATTATTTCAATTTAAAATGTATTCAAAAAAGTTATTTGAATTACATTAATATTTCACATTATTAGTGCTTTTAATGTATTTCTGATCAAATAAATGCAGCCTCTGTGAGCATAAGATAATTTCAAAAACATTTTAAAAATATTATTTACCCCAAACTTTTGAATGGCAGTGTATCTATAGTTCTTATTACTGCAAGTAAAAATAACACCTCATTAATCAATATGCACACTGTCCCTTTAAAAATTATTACAATGTGTCTTAACTAGGCATGACAAGTGATAAAATTATCTCTTCCATGTTAATCAGATTTTTTGTCCTAACCAACAATGATTGCAACCAGCAGTGGAACATTTAGTCAGTCAGTTCGTTTCAATTTGTAGTGTACCATGCAAGGTAGTCCCACCCACAGGGAAATTTGATTGGTCAAAAATCTTGCTCCACATTTAACTGAATATTACATTAACTGAATGCTAATGTGTCATGCAGCATTTCTGCTTTCAGTGCAGACAGAAAAAATGTGCCTGGCATCTAAATGTGCGCGAGCCTGATTGTGCCAGGCATCTACATTTTACATCTGATTTTTTATCATAAGAAAAGTAGGATTGTGTGATATTGGAAAAAAGACTTTCTTTATCTTCTGGGTGGCATGATTATTATGAATATCTGCTCATGTGCCCATTTTTACCAACAAACTCAAATTTGACATGATGCACTATCAAGGCTCTATCAAACACACACACCGACACAAACAATGCAGCTCTCTTACCATTTTCCCGGGATCTCCTTTTTGTCCCGGCGGTCCAACCAGAAGCGAAAAGTATGTGGGCTCCGCCTCGAAGCTCTGGAAATCGTTGAAAGCCGGAACAGTCACAGATTGGACGGAAAACCTTGGAGTGCCCAGTGTGACATAATGCACAGGTGTTTTCAGCTTGTCAGGATTGACTTTGGGGGTTTCCAGAGTTTTTGGTGGTTTGTTTGGTGCAGCGGTGGTGAACGGAGCAGATTTGGGCGTCGGAAGGCTTTTTTTGGGTGTAGGGTTTGGGGCGGCGGTAGATTTTGGGGTTGGGAGTGTGCTTTGGGGTGAGCGTTGGGTGCTGGTTTTGGGCTGGAGTGGCTTTTTGTTGGTTGGCGAGGGTCTTTTGGGGGCGGTCGGTTCTGGGTTGGACAACGGTTTTAGAATGGCATTGTGTTTCTTGTCAGGATTGATAGGTTGAGCACCAGTAGAAGTATTCTTTGTTGGGTTGATATTGGTGGGCTTTGGCGTAAGAGTTGGTTTCTTTACCGTGGGTTTTACAGCTGCTGGTTTGGAAGGTTTCGGTGGCGTAGGTTTGGCACCAGTTGTTTTTGAACTTCCAGGTTTGGAAGAAGTAGGTCGAGCAATTGTGGGCTTTGGTCCGGAAGGCTTTGTTGCACTAAGCTTTGGAGACGTTTTTCCTGGAGTGGGTCTGGATCTGGCTGGTTTTGTAGGGGTAAGCCAGACCACTCCAAGCTTTGAGGCAGTCGGCTTGGGGCTTTTGGGTGTCCTGAGAGTAGGTTTGGGGGTGACAGAATTTAAATGTCCCCATGATAAAGGATTTTCAAGTCCTGTTTGCATCAAGGAAAGGGGTGGAGGTGTGGTAGACGTGGGTTTTGGTCGTACACCGTTGCCCATTCTCACAGCAGAAGACCCTCCTGCGCCATTTATGGATGTCCAAAGGAAATTAGTGGGAGTGAAAGTGAAAGTGCGATTAGGTGGTAACGTGTGGGCCAATAGTGGTGGGGCGTGTTTGGACGGGAGGGGAAGTAGAGCGGGAGGCGCTGGCCTGTAGGTGTCATTTTCTCTGCACTGCCTGCGGATGGCGCTGCAGTAGTTCTGCTGTGCTTGTGCCGAGGGCACCACGTCAAACTGGCAAACCGCTCCCTCAAACGGTACCACACCCGGAAGCAAAGCGCTGGTGCCGCCCAAGCGGAAGGTCCCGCGAGGGTTCAGGCGTTCGGGAAGTATGGGGAGTTTCTGTGTAACTCTGCCATCGCTCTCCGAGCAGGGAGAGTGTAGGGTCACTGATTGGCCATTTAAAACAAAGGCTAGATGATGCCAGCGCCCGTCATGGAGGTTGTACGCAAAGACCGCAGCATTCCCAGGGCCGGCGTGAAGTGTTAGCTTGCCGGGCGAAATTTCCAGCCCGAGTTGAATTCGCTTCCCAGATAGGACGGAGAAGAGAAATGCTGAGTTTAAGCGGTGAGATCGGACGCTCAGGACGAGAGTGCAGTTCCAGAAGAGTTCTGGTGGGAACACGGAACGTGTCGCCGTGGTAACTCGTACCCGTGTCGTGAGGATGACTCCAGAGCGGAGGGAGATGACGCCAGCGGGAACGGCACGAGAACTGAGCTCAGCACGCAGAGCCAACCGCTGCAACACGTCCACATCTGCAACACAAACACATCTTAATACACACACATACATATTCACATTTACACATATATGACATAATTCAATCAATTAATTAATTAATGCAAAAAATAAATTAATACAAAAATTTATCTGAAATAAATGTTAATATTTTTTAATATGTTAATATATTATATAATATATAATACACACACACACATATATATATATATATATATATATATATATATATATATATATATATATATATATATATATATATATATATATATATATATATATATATATATATATATATATATATGTGTGTGTGTGTATTATATATTATATAATATATAATACACACACACACATATATATATATATATATATATACATATACATACACATAATACCTTAAATACACTTTTACATTTATAAATGTAAATATATTTTAATAAATAAATTCACAAAATATTAAAATCTTAATTAAAAAGTAACACACAAATATAATTTTTTTCATATATATATAAAATGAACGTGTTTGAGTGTGTGTGTATATCGATAGATAGATAGATAGATAGATAGATAGATAGATAGATATAGCATCTAGATGACCAACACACGAACACATTTAAGCCATAAAACTTTCACTTTGATTTCATGGCATCTTGAGGAGGTCCATGACTCCGCATTACATCATTTTAATGTGCTAATTCAGTTTTGTGCCATGTTTGTTAAATTCCAGCAGAAAAACATCCTCCGAGGCTAAAACGAAGCAATGAGTTAACAGCTGTGTCTGTGTCTGATGCTAAAACTGGCTTCTGACAAGGAACATTTGTGAACTTATTGCAGTGAACTTGTAATTGTGTTTCACTTGGGTCAGCGTTTGGCTTCACAAGGCCAGGACAGAGCCAAGCGTATGAGAACAGCAGCAGAAACTACTTCATTCACACAATAGAACACTGTCTGAATGATGCGTTTGATTGTGTAAATGAACATCTGTTTGTGTTTCACGCCCATATCATGAATCAACAGTCAGCAAAACTGTGAAGGACTATCAATGGTTTTGGGCAGGTGCACATTACTTTGTTGTCATCAGCAAATCAGTGTTGTCATGACATCGTTTTTAGGTGCAATTAGTCACATGGCATTTACAGCTAAGGTGACTGGCTCAAAAAAAAAAACATGTATGCACAACTGAGCATCGAAGAGTAAAGATTTTCCAAGAAGACTTGACTAATGCATCTGATTTCAGTGAGAGTGCACAGACAAATAGCGTACAAATTGGGTAAAATTTAATTAAACAGAGCTTGATTCAATGTATCGTAAGACTGATTGATCCATGAAGGATACATGTGGTGCTTCCTTATAATTTGGACAAAATCAATGCAGTCTTAGAATGCAGCATTTTTTTATTTATTTTTTTATTATATACATATATACATATATATATATATATATATATATATATATTATACAGGTTAAGTCAGCTGGCGAACTCAGTAAACTCTCATTGCTGTCATGTAAACAGATCTTACTTCCTGTGATCTTTGCTTTGATTCAGTAGATTTATCATAACTTTATTCCCAGGCCTTTTCATATGTGTGTTACTGTCAAGAGATCAGCATGAATCAGCAGTCAAGTGGGAACATGATGTCATTTTTTCTATAAAACAGACATGCACTAACACACACACACACACACACACACTCATTCATGTAAAAGGCGTTATAAGACATGCTTTACTGAGGAAAAAGTGCTTGGAACTGAGAGATGTTTGGCAGGAGAAAAGGTAAGGAAACTCATACGTATGTGAGAAAGAGGGTGTTTGCGTTTCATGAATCAGGGTATAAAGTTTAATGTTGTAAAACTTTCCAAACTTAGCAGAAAGTGCAAGAACATGAAACTTTATTATTGTGCAATAATTCAGTGGCCTCAAAAGTCTACCATTTCCATTGCAATCACACATACGCAAACAAATGTTGCATAAAGATAAAACTCATTTTTGTTTCATATCTTACCTTCAAAGAGTACTTGGGTGAATCCAAAAGAAGTACAGTAAAGTAGAATAGACAGAAGAAGAGCTCTCCTAGAGACACACAGAGAAAGGCAAGTTACTCATTTGAATTTTCCACTATTTTTGCGGCTAGCAGAGTTAAATGTTGAATCAGACCTTTACATAACAGAAGCCACTTGTCAAAACATCATCATTACAATGGAGGTACACATTTCAGGCTTCTTGCACTGGCCTCAAGCCAAACAAGTGGAAAATTTTACTGGCAGCACCATATTTCCGGAGCGAGTGGAGCGAACCATCAAACCGATGGATGATGCTGGCCAGTTAAATGTATTTCCATGTTTATAGTCAATGAAAACATTGTGCGTGTTTCTTTTCTTTCTTTTGGAAAATGATCAAAATATGCACACAAGTGTATACTTAAGAAGAACATTTAGTACAGAGCTTAATTGCTATTACACACTGTGGACAAAATAAAATGAATTTTCCACAGTTGAGCATTTTACAAAATCATCTTAGCATATAAGGATGCATCAATATTAAAATTCTGACCAATACTGATTATTTTCATGTTATAGGCAATAACCAATAAATAGAGAATCTATACTATTATGTGCATAATAAAACACTAAAAATTGAAATCAATCATTTTAAATGCTACAAGCAAATCTACCATTCAATATATATATTGTATTTTTTTTTTATTGTTTTATTCAGCAAATATGCATTAAATTGATCAGACGTCACAGTAAAGATGTTTATAATGTTACAATGATTTCTATTTCAAATATATGCTGTACTTTTGAACTGTCCATTCATCAAAAATCCTGAAAATAATTAAGCAGCGCAACTGTTTTCAACATTGATAATAATCAGAAATGTTTCTTGAGCAGCAAATCAGCATATTAGAATGATTTCTGAAGGATCATGTGACACTGAAGACCGGAGTAATGATGCTGAAAATTCAGCTTTGCATCACACACACACACACACACTCATTCATGTAAAAGGCGTTATAAGACATGCTTTACTGAGGAAAAAGTGCTTGGAACTGAGAGATGTTTGGCAGGAGAAAAGGTAAGGAAACTCATACGTATGTGAGAAAGAGGGTGTTTGCGTTTCATGAATCAGGGTATAAAGTTTAATGTTGTAAAACTTTCCAAACTTAGCAGAAAGTGCAAGAACATGAAACTTTATTATTGTGCAATAATTCAGTGGCCTCAAAAATCTAGTTTTAACCACATTTTAACCACCATTTCCATCGCAATCACACATATGCAAACAGATGCTGCATGTTCATAAATATAAAACACATTTTTATTTCATATCTTACCTTCAAAGAGTACTTGGGTGAATCCAAAAGAAGTACAGTAAAGTAGAATACACAGAAGAAGAGCTCTCCTAGAGACACAGAGAGAGAAAGACAAAGTTACTCATTTGAATTTCCACAATTTTTGCGGCTAGCAGAGTTAAATGTTGAATCAGACCTTTACATAACAGAAGCCACTTGTCAAAACATCATCATTACAATGGAGGTACACATTTCAGGCTTCTTGCACTGGCCTCGACCCAAACAAGTGGAACATTTTTCTGGAAACACCATCTTTCTGGAGTGAACCATCAAACCCATGGATGATGCCGGCCGGTTAAATGTATTTCCATGTTTATAGTCAATGAAAACATTGTGCGTGTTTTTGGTGTCTTTTCTTTCATTTGGAAAATAGTAAAAATATGCACACAAGTGTATACTTAAGAAGAACATTTAGTACAGAGCTTAATTGCTATTACACACTGTGGACAAAATAAAATGAATTTTCCACAGTTGAGCATTTTACAAAATCATCTTAGCATATAAGGATGCATCAATATTAAAATTCTGACCAATACTGATTATTTTCATGTTATAGGCAATAACCAATAAATAGAGAATCTATACTATTATGTGCATAATAAAACACTAAAAATTGAAATCAATCATTTTAAATGCTACAAGCAAATCTACCATTCAATATATATATTGTATTTTTTTTTTATTGTTTTATTCAGCAAATATGCATTAAATTGATCAGACGTCACAGTAAAGATGTTTATAATGTTACAATGATTTCTATTTCAAATATATGCTGTACTTTTGAACTGTCCATTCATCAAAAATCCTGAAAATAATTAAGCAGCGCAACTGTTTTCAACATTGATAATAATCAGAAATGTTTCTTGAGCAGCAAATCAGCATATTAGAATGATTTCTGAAGGATCATGTGACACTGAAGACCGGAGTAATGATGCTGAAAATTCAGCTTTGCATCACAGGAATAAATTATATTTCAAAACATATTCAAAATTAAAACAGTTAGTTTAAATGGTAATAATATTTCACAATATTACTGATTTTACTGTATTTTTGATCAAATAAATGCAGCCTTGCTCAGCAGAAGAGTCTTAAAAAAAACATAATTATTCCAAACTTATGGCTGGTAGTATACAGTACGGAAAAAATATATTTTTTATTTTGAGATTTGCCGAAGAATACATTTTACAGTTATGAAATGATTACTGTATTTAAAGATTAACTTTAAATGAGCGTCAGCTGACAGCAAAGATAACCTATCAAATAACTACACAAATATCTAATACTGACCAATATAAAACCCCCAATATCGGCTTCCCGTAGCAAACACCACTTACACTACAGTCAAAACTGTTACACTTTATGCATGACACAAAGGAACCTCAGATGTAGTTTTTTGCCAGACTGACCCTGATGAACTTTGACCTTTGAACCCTAACCTCTGATTTCACAGACACATGAAAGAGGAACTGACTCGCAGTGGAAGGATTTCAATTATGATTGGCAGGATAGACGGAGCTCTAAACCCCCACCGTGTCTGCGGACATGTTTGTGTGAGTGTGCCAGCTGCTTTAAACATTACCTGCTGACCACAAAACACACACTCTTTTATCTATCATATACACACACGGTCCTAGACTCCCCCAGGATCCCCATACCTGAGTCAGGAAGTGAAGCGTCTCGCCGCAGAGTTTCTCAGCCAATCAGAACAGTTGAAACACCAGCCAGTCTTACCTCACAGTTAGTAAGCCACCGCAAACAGACGAGTGAGAAACAGTGTGTGTGTGTGTGTGTGTGTGTGTGTGTGTGTGTGTCACAGCTGAATGTGCTCTTTCTGTTGTGTGTGTGTGCTGTAGAAAATGACTCATGCATGTGTCAAGCATCTCTTGAGTCTCATAAACACTGTGCAAGTGAATATTTGTATATTACAATAACTGAACTTAAAATCATTTTAAAAATCAGTTAAAATGTTAATTTTGCAGGAAAATCGTTAAACTGAGCTGACAGGTTTACATCCCGCAGTTGATGCTAAAATATGCAATAACTAAAGTTATCATGCAATAACCAAAGCAGATTTAGAAGAGAAAGCGAAAACAAGTATGTCTGAGGGACTAACTTACAGAAGCCTTTTTCCGTCGTGTGATAAAAAAATAAAAAAGGTAATTGCAACTATTTATCTCACAATTCTGACTTTTCATTCTCACAATTCTGAATTTATATCAAAATTCTGACCTTTTTTCATCCAATTTGAAGAGAAAAAAGTCGACCTGTCAGTTTATTTCTTGCAATTCTGAGGGGGGGGGGGGTTTAATTTCAAGAAAAAAAGTCACAATACCTTTTTTACTTATTTATTCCATGCCAGGAACAAGCTCCCATTCAAACTTGACCATAGAAGTGAGTAAAATCAGACAAAATTTCCATTAGGAGATGTTGCCAATTTTTAAAAAACAATCAAATAAAATAAATACTCATTATAATTAGCTTACATAAGATTATTATATAAGATTATGAGAAGTCAATGGCATTAAAGTAAACGTGTAGCCTATTTGTAGTGTTAATTTTGCATTTAGCTCTCAGGTTTCCCTCTTCCAGGCCTAGTTATTTAGTGAGTGGAATTTTCTCAATGGTAGCAACCACATGTACACACAAATGTGTAAACTCACACACACACTATGTACACAGACGACTAAAAAGCCCCATCCTTGCATACAACAACCCTTCTCTTTCTTTCTCTTACTTCAGTAATAGGGGAGTGGAAAATTCCTTCCGTTCGGCACACAGTGATAGACATTGATGAGGAAGAACCTGACCCCTGCTCTACAACCCTCTCTCCATTTCGTTCTAACATTTAGGGGCAAAATACAAGTTTGTGTTCAAATCTGGACGTATTTAAGTATATATGTAGGAGAGGAGAACATCTCTCGCACATAGATGCTCTTAAATGATTATATCCCTGTCAGGTCGTGAGTTGGTGCAATGTAGGGCGCACCCTGGCGGACAGTGGCGGAAGCGCAAGGGATCCGGTTACAGGCCGCTCACAGGAGCGATGAGCGCCGTCAGAAAACAACCGAACAGCGGTGGAGAGTGCAAACAAGACCGCACATGACGCACAACCATACAAATAACTATGAAACGGATAGTTGTTTGTTTCCTTTCAGCAGTGCTAAAATACACGACACAGCTATGACACGAAACACCTGTTCACCAGCTACTGTGTGTATCACTGCGCACTTCAGTTTACGCCTCAGGGACTAGATCTTTTAGCGGAAGGATGGCACATTTGCTTAATAAAATAATATTTATGAAAACTGAATATGATATGATGTCTATAATTGAACAGCATCACCACACTACAATTTCTGTTTCACATTCAAGTTTACTGGAAGTTTGGAAGTTGTTCAAGCGCTTCATGTCTAAGACTGACTCATGGTCCTACTTTCGTTTTTCATTCATTCATTTTAAGAGATATTTTCTAGCTTTCCCGCATCAGATTCGTGCAATGCATTTGGGTAGATATGAAAAAAAACGTTGTAGAATGGTTGACAGAATGATATTTAAAAACACATAAACAAACATGCAATGAACAAAGTCACAGAAAGCTCACTTTAAACTTTGAAGTACAGGCACAGTTAATATGTAAAAACCTCTAGAGTACTTTATACCTGATTAAACATTTGCTGGTTTCTTGCAAACCTTAGTTTCAGGGAACTTCCATGAACCTTAGTTTAGGATATAAATAACCACTGGCGAACGTTCTATAATAGACTGTTGCATGGGAAATGTGAACACTGCTGGACCCCCCATTTGATTCTCTGTTTACATTTCATTACCTTCAGTTTTTTTTAAGACAAGTTCATTCATTCATTCGTGCTTTCGTCATTCATCAGCGCCGCGGAAAGGAAGTCTTGTTTGTTTAGCGTCAGTGATGCTCAGTGGCAAATACACACACACATATGCGCAAACTGAGGCTATTTTGAACAGAGGCATCCAAAAAAACGTCCAAGAACTCCATGTTTCCACAAGCGCCCCGAATACTCAACAGTCAAGAACCTAGAGCGTGTCTCCCAAGTGCCTAAAAAAATACCGGAACCGAATGATGTTCACGGTATTGACGGTTCTTGCACTCTGCCGCTACACCAATACTGAATCACCAGCACGACAGGGTTGCCAGGTTTTCACAAGAAAACCCGCCCAATCGCTACTCAAAACTAGCCCAATCGCGTTTCGAGGGGGTCCCCAGTTAAAAATGGCATTCTGGGGGTAAAATAGGCCTACACGTTTTTTTTGGCGGGGTTCCCCTGCTAAAATTCGCATTCCAGGGGATAAATATCATGTTATTGGAGTCGTTTCAACCCGGCGGACATGAAAAACAACCTGTGGCAACAATGTTAAAGTAGCTCAATTCCGCGGGAAAACACCAGTGTAGCCCGATTCAACGAAAAGTCAGCTCTTTTAAGTGAATCAAAAACACTTGAATCTATTGAAGCGGTCACTGAATTACTTAGAATGAATCGCAAATCACTGTTGGAATCGTGAACCAAACACTGACCTATTGTTAAAAGGCTACATGTAGACAACATGTAGATAAACAAACACATGTAAATTTTGTTTAAATAACTGATGTTTTCAAATGAATGAATAAATTAAATGTTAACAGGTTGGTTAATTCAATATATAGTAAAAATAAATATTGGAATGCATGCCAACACTAAAATGAAAAAGTCATTAAAAAGCGAGACCTGTAGGCATAGGCGGAGCGTGTGTAAGGCCTTCCCCTGGCCACTGGGACTGGGGGCAAAAATGCCACTAAGTTGGACAAAAATGTCCCTGCACAAACAAATTAAATCTAGTACGTCTGTTGCTAACAAAGTGAATATGAATAGACAGTGTCGATTGTGGCATTAAATTCAGATCTGCTCATGTTGCACCGTATTTCATTTTAGGCGTTTTTACAGTGTTGCGCATTTTAACCAATCACGCACATATCTGTTGAGCTTAGGAATGCAATGGCCAATCAGAAGCGTTCCGATGAGTCATCGTTCAAACTCATCAGTTTAGTTGAGTGCGCGCGCGTTCGCTGACTGAATTCCGGACTCTTGCGAATTCTCTCATCATAAACAACAAAGCGCAGATGTACGTACAATGTAAGTAAGAGATTCATTTAACAGTGTATACAGCTTCAGTGATTATAACGATAGTTGAATTTTTTTGAGAGTGCTTAAACTGGCGATAGATCAATGTTAGTGATAATGTCACTTTCTATAGAGGCTATAATCTATTCGCTGTTTGAATAACAGTGGAAAGGAAACGTTATATAATTATACATTTCTAACGTTTTTTATTAAATTGTAGTCACGTTAAATACAAATTCAGTCCCATTAAAAAAATTTTTTAGCCTACATGACACCCATGTCTGGTTCATAAAAAGACGGGTTTGTGATGTTTCATACATTTGGCTGCTTTTAGCCTTACCCTGGAGTTGGTTCACCCTCCGCCTATGCCTGTAGGCTATTATAAATCTGAAATAATGTCATTAAGTTGTAATTTAATTTATTTCTCAAATGCATTAAAATGAAATGGAACCATAAAGGAACCGGAATCGTTCATAAGAGTGGGGACCATTGCCATCCGTTGACAAAAAAAAAAAAAAAAACGTACTACGTACACGGCTCCTCACTGGAGTTATAAATGAACCCAAATACCTGATTCACAGTCAAGACCATATATATGGTCTATGTCTATGCGCAAAGGGTTTGTATTAAACTGACCTTGGAGTTCTTGGACCTCTCCAGAAACCTATGCTGCCTGCGCGTAATGATGGTTAAGAGCTGGCTCGAGCGCATCTCTGCTGGTACACCTGGATCCTTTCAGTTAAAGATCTGTTTCTGTTCAGTTCTGAACGCTGGCCAAGCTACACAGGTAGAGCGGCGCACGCGAACAAGCGCCCATTCACCCGGCACCAACTCACACACAAACCAGCGCGCCCTGCACAAACATCCAGCCACCAAGCGCTCTTTGTCCCCGGTGTTACCGGGGAACGGAGGTGGCCGACCTGTGTGACTGTTGAGGTAAAACTGAAACTTACTTTGCCACCAGACGAGAGGTTCTGCGGACTCTCCTTCGGGTCGCTAAATTCATTTGTATTCATTTGTCCCGGCAGTCAAAATCCTGATCCGTTAATCTGCGTGACTGCGTCGCTGCCCGAGAGCGCGAGCCGTCGTCTCATGCATCGGATAAACCGTTGTGCGGAATGAGCGCGATCTCCCACCGGTCTGCTGCGCGACACCACCATAAATCCCTCCCGTGGAGCGACGGGAATAATCCGCGGGCGATTCTGTCCGGTCCTGCCCGGGTTCTGTAGGCATTTATGCCGGGTTGGCAACAGCTACAGCGGCTACTGGATGTTTGGTGCTTGGGGGGTTTGAGGAGTCAGGAGTGGAAGTTTCATCCTTTTTCCTTTTTTAAATAGCAGTTGGAGAGCAGCTGTGGCGAGCGCCGGGTGTCGAGTTTCACGGCCGCCGTACATAACGCCCCTTGTGGGAGGGCACACCGGGGCACCTCAGCCCCTGCCAAGGTTAGGCTACCAATGGGCTTTTCACACTAACCCAGGGTCAATTTTAAGACAGGATTAACTCTGGACTGTCTTGTTCCAGGTTTCAAACTGTTCATGTTTTGCATTTCAGAATTGCTTTATTGGTCTAGGCAAGACACTACACTCTAAAAAATGCTGGGTTAAATACAACCCAGTGCTGGGTACAATAGGGACAAACCCAGCAATTGGGTTGTTTTGACCCAGTGGTTGGGTTACTACCCAGAAGGTTGGATTAAACATTTAACCCAACCGCTGGGTCAAAACAACCCAATTGTTTGTCCCTATTTTACCCAGCACTGGGTTGTATTTAACCCAGCATTTTTTAGAGTGTAACAAGCAAAACACACGTTAAATGTTTATTTTATTACACTTTATCTATTTGCTTATGTCAATTACAATACATATTTTTTAACCCTTTCCACTCATATGCATGTTCTGGATTTCCACCTTAATTTGACAAGTTTAGACGTTCGTCCTACACACATACAGTGGAAGAAATGTAAAATACTGGTGCAATGTAAAATAATGTAATCAATTAACTGGAAGGATGGTGATATCTATCTATCTATCTATCTATCTATCTATCTTGCCCTATTCACCGGGTAGTCTTCCATTAAAAATACTTAATAGTGTGTTTAAACCCAGTTTGAAAGACAATTAATATACAGAAAATATTACTGTTTTGACTAAACTGAAACTATCAAATGAGAAAAGCTTGAAGTGAATAGTGAATATCATTGTCTTCTGTAGAGCTGCTTTGCAACTAAATTAAGATATATATAGTCTTCTATAGAGCTACAGTTGAAAAAAAATCAATCAAATTGATGATTTTTGCAACACAGTGGAAATATTCAGCTTTTGCATCTATAAACCGACTTTCAAAAATAAACCAACTCTGACAAATATTCATTGGAGTAAAAAAAGAAAGTGACAACTAGCCCTGGTCTCCCCTATTTACAAGTAAAAAAAAAATTGGGACAAGTACAGCATGTAAACAAAGCAACTTTTATATCTGTTTTCACATCCACTAATATAGTATTATTTCTTCAAATTTAGAAGTTAACAAGCAATCAAAACTGAACCTAATTACTTTTTGGGCTGATTCATCACTAATCACTGTTTGTCTTTGTATTCTTTCATCAAAATATAAGAACTTGCTCTGTCATTGACACAGCCTTTCAATCCTCCCCTCCAAACACCTGTATCATAGAAACACTTCACCATCCACTCAATTGTTGACGGATAAAATCAAGCATTTTCTTTCACATATTGTGTTTCACTCTGAAATACATAACATTATTGAAGTAAAACGGGTTGCAGGCACCATTTTAACAGAGTAGTTCTCTCAGATGCTGAAACTAAACAGTATGTGACTGTACAAATCTCATGAATATTTAATGAGGCAATCACTGAGGCAGTTTATGATTGGATGTCTGTTGCTAAATTGCCATATTAGGATTACATTGAGTAGGGCTTTAACATAGGGTTAAAAATGGTACAAAACTCAAATGAAGACAATTTATCTTAACCTTGTGAAAAACCTTCAAAGAGTCTGAAGTCCTGGCTGCTATACCTGCAGAGCTCTGAAACGTGCTCTGTGCTAAATAATTTAAGCATGAAGAATAACAGCAAACATTTTAAGAATTCTGAGTTTCTGTATGGCTTGTTCAGAGGAAAAACAAGTCTGAAAACTAGTCATTTCCTCTAATTATGTGCATTTTGGATGCGTAACCACCACTTAAACCTGACAATTTGCCATTGGATATTTAGCAGCGTGAATTTAGAGCTTACTTAACTCACTGTAAAGATACAGATTCTGATCTAAATATGGGCCACACGCCCACATCCAGACCAGCACACGTCCCGCCCTGTAAACACAAGCGTATTTAAGTATACATTTCTCCTGTACCGCACACTCTCTGCTGCCCATCATCAAAAGTGTGTTTTCCCCTCCATCAATCACTTGATATTCTTTGATATTCATGCTCGATGTCAGCATCAGTTGTTTGGTTGTGTATGTCACTAATAGATCATGAAAACACACTAAACAGGCAGGGATGAGGCCACACACCTGGATACGCCCGGCTTTAAAATGAGGGTTTTATGTAGAGTTACAGTAAGATAGAAGCTCCACGTGGTTCACATTAATCCAAACACATGAAATCGGTGCGCCTGGGTTTAGCAGAGCATATAACATATAGCAACATAAGACACCTAAGCAAAACACACTTAAGTCAACATTGACCCAATTTACACGATCCTGGGCCTACTGCAGATGATTCATTAGTGCAAGTTTGTATTTGTAATATTTCATCAAAATGTACTAGTAATAGTGTATATATATATATATATATATATATATATACACACACACACACACATGCACATATATATATTTTAAGATTCTTAAGCTCCTAAGATTCCTATGCTCATGTTGAGGCTGCATTTATTTGATGAAAAATACAGAAAAAAAAAACAGTAATATTGTGAAATATTATTGCAATTTAAAATAATGGTTTTCTATTTTAATATACTTTAAAATATAATTTATTCCTTTAATGTAAAGCTGAATTTTCAGCATCATTACTCCAGTCTTCAGTGTTACATGATCCTTCAGAAATCATTCCAATATGCTGATTTATTATCAATGTTGCAAACAGTTGTGCTGCTTAATTTTTTTTTTGAACCTGTGATAATTTTTCTGGATTTTTTGATGAATACATTCTTTAAAAGAACAGCATTGATTTAAAACAGAAATCTTTTGTAATAATATACTACTGTTCAAAGGTTTGGGGTCAGTACTTTTTTTCTTTCTTTTTTTGAAAGAAACTAACTCTTTAATTCAGCAAGGATGTGTTAAATTGATAAAAAGTGATAGTAAAGACTTATATTAGAAAATATTTTTATTTTAAATAAATAGTGTTATTTTCTTAACTTTTTATTCATCAAAGGATCCTGAAAAAAGTATCAAAGTTTCCCAAAAAATATTAAGCAGCACAACAGTTTTCAACATTGATTTGATTTTTTTAAATAAATTATATATTAATATAAAACCACACTAATTCCATTCAAGCGCACCTCAGTCTCAGTTTTATCAAAAGCAGTGTGTAAAACAAAGAAATACAGATTACATTACTGAATTGAAGCATGAATGAACTGTTTTGGCTTCTTTTCTGTGTTTTTGTACAATCTGTGATTACTGTGGCACGAGTGTTGCTTTTGTATTCAAACATCTGTGTGTCATTCTCTGATACACTGTTAGTCATACATCAGAGAATGTTAAGACCATGTCTACAAATGAGGCTAATTTGTCCTGCTAATCCTCTTTATGAACTAATCCATCATCTCACACGAGCCGTTTCCCAGAGCTCAGGCCCCACAGAACCTATCACCACAGTTCAAAGGTCACGGGACGGCTTCTTTCAGGCTCAAACATGACTGGAATACTGTCATGCTGCATACCGTGAAGTGTACTATTTGGGGTCAGTAAGATTCTTTTTAAAGAAATTAATACTTTTATTCAGCAAGGATGCATTAAATTGATCAAAGGTGACAGTAAAGACATTTATAATGTTACAAAAGATTTCTATTTCAAATAAATGCTGTTCTTTCTTTTGAACTTTCTACTGATCAAAGAATCCTGAAAAATTAAAATGTATCACGGTTTCCACAAAAATATGAAGAAGCTGTTTTCAACATTGATAATAATCAGAAATGTTTCTTGAGCAGCAAATCAGCATATTAGAATGATTTCTGAAGCATCATGTGACACTGAAGACTGACGTAAAGATGCTGGAAATTCATCACAGGAATAAATTACATTTTACAATATATTCAAATACAAAAAGAGTTCTTTTAAATTGCAATAATATTTCACAACATTATTATTTGCATGTAAGTGACATCCAGTTATTATCTGATCAATTTGTAACTTTTTTTTTTATTGCGTTACAGTGGAAATGGAAGTCACGTACACATGCATTGTGCTTTTTTTTTTTTAATGCTGTTCTTTTGAACTTTTTTATTCATCAAAGAATAAAAAAGTAAAATATTTTGAGATTAAAAGTCACAATTACCTTTTTATATGTTATTCTCTGACGGGGGAAAAAACTGAATTGTGAGAATTAAACTCTGAATTCTGAGAAACAAAATCAGTTTATATCTTAATATTCTGACTTTTTTTTTTTTACTTAGTTATGGAAACAAGCTTCCACAGAGTGATTTGTGTCCTTATTAAATACATTGTCACTGACTGTAATATTCTGCAAAGTGGTGTAGACTAGTAACTGTTATTTTATTCTGGGCATAAGATCAACCTCTAGCTCATCTACACACCGTGCCTCAGGCTACACACACTTCGAAAGCAGATACACACACCCTGTTGTCCAGGACACTTGGAGTCTCTAAATTGTGTGCTTTACACTTTAGTTCCTCCTCCTGTGTTTATTCAGTGTTGTGCTAAAATTACAGCCTAGCTTGTGTGTATCATTGTGTGTGTGTGTGTGTGTGTGTGTGAGTGTACCACCCAGACTGCTTTGATTATGCTCATGCTGACCTAAAGCTTTAATTACAGTCCAAACCAAATGATCCCAACACTCCACAAATAACCCGGGCCAGACCAGATCAAACGCTCGACAAGATCACGCACCATCATTAAGCAGGACACGCCCCTAAATCTGCCGTGCCATGCCCTGAGCCAATCGCAGAGCGGCATCTGAAGAAAAGAAAACATGAAATAACTCCTAATACTCATACACTAACAAACGATGGAAAGTCTTTTCCACAAACGACCAAATAATGATCCATACTCAGCAAAAAGCAGCCTCAAATGGCTTCAAGCTTCTTAATCATCTAAATTCAATCAACCAATGGTAAATTTGACCATTCCAAGTGTTCTGAAATCTTCAAC